AACTGAATTTGACATTTACAATAATTATCGATTTAATCGATCGATTTCGAGGAAAAAAATCCCAAGACTTTTCTGATGCCGATTGAATTTGCAATAAATCGATATTTAACACAATTTAAATATGACTCATACCAAAATGAAGATTCGTGTAAAGAAATGAAAAATCCTTAAAAAAATCAGCACAACTCTTTCACTCCCACGAATCCCAGAGCAATAAGAAACAAAAACCGCGGGAATAATTCCACATATGTAGGATGGCACGTGAACGACGAGGAATGTAGATGTCCATTTAAAAAAGACTGCATGTGAAACTCCTAATGAACTCGTTTGAGCTCGATTTCGAAGACGAGTGTACTGTTACCAGGAATGACTGGAGGGGATCCTTTGGCTCCATATGCCATCTGAGGTGGTATCGTGAGTCGTCGTTTACCTCCAACCTTCATCCCCTGAACACCAACGTCCCACCCTTTAATCACTTCACCTTTTCCCAGCCTGAATTTGAAGCCATCCCCTTGGGTGGTGGAGTCGAATTTCTTTCCATTGGCAAGTTTCCCCACGTAGTACACAGACAAGAATTTCCCAGGTTTGGCAGGAGCCCCCTGGCCGACCTTCAACTCTTCCACCTGGATTCCACCACTGATGATTCTCTTCTTCTGCATCTGTGAGTCATTCTGAATGTCTTTGCTCTTCTTGTCAGATTTCTCTGCCTTCTTGTCCTTCCCATTGACGAGTGCCTGTTTCTGCTGTATTTGTTTTTCCTCCTTTTTCTGCTGGGATTTATTTTGTTTGCCCTTCTTCTGGGGCTTCACTTCTTTTTCTTCTTCCTCCTCCTCTTCTTCATCTTCATCCTCCTCATCCTCCTCATCCTCTGCGATCTGGTTATCGTCATCGTCTTCTTCTTCCTCTTCAAGTTCGTCGTCCTCGTCATCCTCAGAGTCATCGTCGGGCATAAGACCATCCAGGAGTCCGTCGTCGTCCGAGGAGTCATCCTCCTCCTCAGCAACTTCCTTCACAGATTCCTTCAGCCTCTTTGCTGCCTTTCTCTCCGTCGGAGAATTCTTTGCCTTGCGTTTGCCCACCAACTGGGGTACTTCCTCTTCCTCCTCCTCCTCCTCGTCCTCGTCCTCAAGCTCGTCCAGATCGTCCATCTCGTCGTCTGGTACCAGATACCCCGTCAGGTGCACGTGACCACGACCATTTGACGTGAACGCTATCTTCGTACCCTCCTGGAAGTTCAGGTCAAGAGGCACCTGCCAGACGTGACCCTTCTTCAGGTTACACAACAGGTAGTTTCGATTTTCATAGCACAACATCACTTGGACTATTTCATCATCTGAAATGTTTTCCATAGAATAAAAAATTAAAGGGAATTCTTCCTTCAGAGACAGACTATTCCACGAGTTAAAAATGGAAAGACAAAATAAATCCTAGAAAATTCTGGGGGAGAATAATTTACCCGGACTTATTTAAATTGTTTGATTATTTTTAAACAGTTGTACATGAATTTCTTGGAAATGAGAATTCAAGAAAATAATAGAACGTATCAAACGGGAAAAATAATAATTATGAAAACAGAATGAAGAGGCCCTTTTCGAAAGATGAAACATGAATATTCCCACTAGAAACTCGGACATAAAATTAACTCTCGGATAGAAAGTAAAAGAGTGCGTTCATCTCCAGAGGAAACTAAATAAGCTAAAATTAGTTTTGCTTACCGGCGGTTGAAACATCCAGAGTCGCCATAGACACGTGGAATGGTTTATCAACGGTCTGGGTGTACCGCTTGTTAGGTTCAATGATAAGTCCTGGAAAAAGCCAACAATCCAATTACCCCCATGCCAAATGATTGATCAAGGTCTCTCAATCGTTAATTCAAAATTAAGAATAATTTTGTCGTGGCCACATGGCGACGCCATTCTGAACGTGTACCGGCACGCTTTGTCCCCAACATCGCCTGATTATTCCATAATAAACCCTCAAACTCACCCCAAAACATCTTGACTGATGACGATCACGCGTTTACAACAATTCCAAAAAAATATATAAATAATGAATCAAGAGATCAACGTGTTGGCACTCAAATGGTTCTCCTCAGTCCGCTGACTGCCGTATAACCGTTTCCCTCGTTCTCGCGCCAACTCGTGCAATGAATTATTTCGTAGACCTGCAGGAGGAGAGAATATCCTGAAGTTGCGTGAATTTCAGACGAGTATTTCCGAGGATTAGTTCAGGGGGTGTCCGTTCGTACTTTTACAACTCTACACGGAGCGCCTTGAGCACGGTGGTGATAAATGGCATCGCACAACTCAACACGAGTGGAAGGCCACGTGTGTCGTGGCTTGTATTGTTGACAATTTTTTCTGGTACGTCAATTGTTAAATATATGACGAAATGAGAGATTGAGGCTGAGCAATGGATCCAGACTTTGAAGAGTTGTCCAATGACACAGACTTGATCGCTAGAATCAAGCAGTTTCGAGATGCCAGGGAGAGGATTGGGGATACTTTGCAGCTTGCAGCTGATGAGAAGTTCTACGAGAGTCTGAGCAATGAGGATAAGATAAAATTTAATCTTCTGATGTCGTTTGGGCTGAACAGCTTGTTCTGGATGTACCTGAGATTAGAAGGTATGAGGGATCAATTTTATTTAATTTCAGGAGCCCTGATGAGGACTAATGATTTCAGATGTCGATCCTGCCACGCATGAGATCAAGAATGAAAATGTTCGCCTGAAGAAGGCAATGATACGAGCTCAGGAGATCAAGGACAAAAAGACAAAGATGCCAAGACTCAATAGGGACGCAGCACAGAGATTCGTAAGGAGTGGCCTCTGGGACCCCAAAAACAGGGCGAAAAGGGGACGAGAGGATGAAGATCAATGTCAACAAGAGTTGGAGGAATGGAATGACGAGGAAGGGAATAATCCTGTGCCTGCACCTTCGAGCAATACTGATTAGAAATTTCCTGATAATTTGCTACATTTTTCATAAATTAAAAAATCCCCTTTAAATAATCTAGAAGTTCCCATAAATGGCGAATAATGAATTACATTCGATAATAATAACGACTGCTTTTTATACAAAAGTTTACTGTAATTAATTATTCGATACAAAACTGACGATTCATTAAATTAATCTTTATATTCTTCACCCAAAAACATGTTTTATAATAATTGCTGACTGTCAAAAATTAGTCACTCATTACAGATGTGAATGAAACATGAAACTCAATTCAGATGAACGTGAACTGCAATTGCCCTGAATTACAATAATATTCATTATAACTTGATTTTCTTAACGACTTTGACTTTGACACCGTTCTCCTTGGATGCTTCAGTGAGCTTCTTGACCTGAGCCTGTGCATGAATTCTTTTTCTCCTCTCGAGCTCGAACTTCTTCTTGAGAACTGCCACTTGATCCTTGGGATCCCACGCAGAGGAAACCCTGAGAGAGCTGGGATTCTTCTCAGCTCGTCTTCGTTTCTGGGCAATTGTCTTCTGTAGTTTGGAGCACAATTCACACTTGCCCCTATCCACCAGGATCTTGCAATCATTGTGACGCCAGCACTGCAACTGATCCTGATAAATATCCTTGTTCAGGGCCTCACGTGATTTGTTGATAGGTGTGATGCCACCACAGACTCTCATCTTCTGAAATGTGTACAGAGCAACTTGCAGGGAAACTATTTCCTCAATTTTTCTTGGTAATTTCGTGTTGCTGACGTCCACGCGTTTCCCGTGGGCGTAATAATCAATTATTCCTGTTGTATCGTGAATTATCACTGATTTATTCAAGACGGGGGTGTCCACGTTGTTGACGGGTGTCACTATCACATGGGAGAAGACAACTTTTCTGCCTTCATTGGGGACTAATTCGCTTATTGACCACATGTATGGAAGTTTGACTAATTTCTTTCCATTTTCAAAAATTCCCCCAGTATCGAACCTCAGTTGTGGGAGTTTCTTTTCCTCCATTCTGTTCAGATATTTTTCTCCAGCATCGAAACTCAACTGTGGAAGATGCTTCTCTTCCACTAAATTCAAACTCTTGCCGTCAGTATCGAATTTCATTTGTGGATTTATCTTCTCCTCCATTGTATTTGAATTTTTTCCTTCAGTATCGCATATCAGCTGTGGATTTTTCTTCTCCTCGACTATATCTGAAGATGTCTCTCCAGTATCCATCAGATGTGGAACGTGTTTCTCTTCCACTATATTTGGAGATTGTTCTCCAGTATCGCTCACTACCTGTGGAAGTTTCATCTCCTCCAGGATATTTGGTGTCTGTACAAGAGTTGCAGTCATCTCAGTCTTCACAACATCCAGAGTCGCTAAGGTGGTGGTCTTCGGTGGGTCTTTTTCAGAATTTATAAAATGAATCTGCGGAGTTCTGCCGAAGGTCTTCAGGGTCAGCTGTTTGGTCTGTCCAGTTGGAGTAGTCAGCGTTATCCTGTGAGGTCTTTCCATCGCATGTCTTTCACTTACAGCTTTTACCTCCTCAGGACCATTCATCATAGCTTCCAGTAGCTGCTCAACCTCCATGAATTTATCCTCTGGGTCGATTGGTGCTTTTTCGATGGTTATTTTTAGAGGCATTAGTACATTTTTATCAGGTGGTTTTGAAGTACTAGAGGGTTCTTCAGTTTTTACAGCGACTTTTCCATTTTCATCTGAAGAAAAAAATCAAAGCATTTATCATCATTGGGCAAGATTGAAAAATGTAAAAATCAATTAATTCCACTCAATCAACAAATACCTTCACCACTAGCATCCAAATCGTCCGCTAATCGACAGTAAGAGTGTTCTCCAGTCGAGTAAACCTCCTGCATAGTTTCCTGCTTCGCCACATGACCTTCAGCGCTTATCTTGTTGGCTACCAGGAAGCCTGCAGTACTACCACCTTCTTTCTGCTGATTGTAGAGGAACCACGGATCAGAACAAGTGTAGACCTCGTCTGTGAAGATGCAAGGAATTGCTCTGGGATCCAGGCGAGGTCTCGGGAAGTCATACTGCAAGAAAAATTGAATAAACGTCGAGTCTCACAACAAGAGAGCAACGAGTAACGAGTAACCAATTACCTGAGCAATAACCCTACCCCTACTATCGTACTTAATCCACTTCTTATTGATATATTTCGCCGGGAAATGTCTCTCGCAGACCGATTGACCCAACTTCAATATCTTAATCCCCGGAATAGCAGCCTCCCACTTCAGCCTGAGCTCCTTGTTCGAGGGTACCCTGAACAACGATCTCTTCTCCTCGACTCCTTTGGTACCCGTTCCACAATTCGACACAACACATATTTTCGGCATTTTTTCCGGTGTTTTCAGTGGTTCAATGGTTTTTTCTTCACGATGACATTGTTTTCAGGTAAATCCGACAAAGAACGAAAGCGAGCGAAAGTGTTTTGCAACTGCTACAGCTGTTCCACGAGATTCTGCGATCGAGTCGTGTGCAGTGCGCATGGGCGGGGGTTCTACGATCACTGCGCACACGCTGGAAGCTGTCGCGCAACAATGCAGATGCGCATGTGCAATGTAACATGTGTCAGTGTGCGTCAGTACGTGGTGTACGGCAGACTGTTAAGTCCATTTATTTTCATTTTATTTTTCTCTCGTTTCCCCTTAAAAAACATTCAAAACACACGTGAGCATTGACTATGGCGGATCCTTTGAGTGTTTTGAGGCAGTACAATGTCAGTAAAAAAGAGATAATTGAACGGGAGAATCAAATTATCTTCGGGGAAATATCCTGGCCCAAGAATGTGAAGACCAATTACCTTACTTATGGGTGAGTGTTATTTATTATTTTTCTTGTTTTTTTAGCATGTTTTTTTTGTTTATCCATCGTGATTTTGAAGCTTTGATGATTTTCCCCGGAACACAGCTGGATATTTTCATGTTTGGATTTTTTTTATCATCATTACACTCGGTATTTGTACCACGTGACCTAACCGTATTGTTGTGATTTTTTCTCTTCTTTTTTCTTCTCAATTCGAGGTGTTAACGTGGTCTTCCTTATTCCTCTAATTACTTTTTTAGCTATAGTCATGTTTCCGTTTCTCCGTGTTACTATAGAAGTTCTTGTGACACACTGTGGCTAAATATTTATTTACTTGATAGTGTTATTTTTGTGGGCGTCATTCAGGTAATTCCCTCCTTATCACTCCTCTAATGCCATTTTCCTACTTACGACTTGCAATTATTTATTTCAAACGCAAATGACGTTGGTTAATTAGTCAGTCAATTGATAATATTGTCACGCCAGATCTGGTAAAGACGGAGCCCCGAAGGAGTACTACACCCTGGAATGTCTGCTATTTCTTCTGAAGAATGTTCAGCTCACACATCCGGTGTACGTCCGTCAGGCAGCAGCGGAGAATATTCCCCCAGTGCGAAGGCCAGACAGAAAGGATCTGCTGGCTTATCTCAATGGCGAGACCTCGACATCTCTGGCAATCGACAAATCCGCTCCCCTGGAGATTCCCAGCCAGGTAAAACGATCAGCCGATGATGTTCCAGAGCATCCAATCTCGAAGAAGCCAAAATACGAGGAGACTGATGTGCAAAAAGTGAAAGAGCAATTGGCAGCGAGACTAGACGCCCCCAAAGAGTCCTCAGTGACAGTTGACAATATAAAATCCCTCTCGGAGGCGATGTCAGTGGAGAAAATAGCCGCCATAAAAGCCAAAAGATTAGCAAAAAAACGTACGACAATAAAGGAGAACGACGATCTTGAAAATGGAACAGATCTGCGAGTGATTTTAGCTGACGACACGATTGTATCACGAGAGAGACAGTGGAGAACGAGAGATACGATTCTCCTGAGCAGTGGAAAGACATTCGGTAAAAATGTCTTTGCAATTTTGCAGAGTCTGAAAGTGAGGGAGGAGGGGAGAAGGCATCCACCAACGGACAAGCCGAGATCAGCGCCCCTGAGGCAATTACCACAGCCCACAGTCTACAGCAGATACGATCAAGAACGTTTTGTTCGTCAGAAGGAGGAAACTGAGGGTTTCAAGATCGATACACTTGGGACTTACCATGGAATGACATTAAAATCAGTGACAGAGGGCAGCAAACCTCAGACCAAGAAGGAACCAACTCAGAACCCTCCAACACAATCGGGATTGCTACCAGTCTCTGCTGCCAAGGCCTCTCTACAAGCTGTACAGAAGAAGAGGCCCAGCAAAACACCCATCATCGTTGTACCCAGTGGCAATACCTCTCTCATCACCATGTACAACGCCAAGGACATCCTCCAGGACCTCAAGTTCATTCCTAGCGAAGAGAAATGCGCTGCTGGCTGCAAACGAGAGAGTGAAATGCTTATTCAGAGGAGGAAGGATGGCGGACTCACTGTGCCTTACAGGATCATTGATAATCCTAGTAAATTGACCACTGACGATTGGGACAGGGTTGTTGCTGTTTTCGTGATGGGACCAGCCTGGCAGTTCAAGGGGTGGCCCTATGGGGGAAATCCTGTCGAGATATTCTCGAAAATTTGTGCCTTTCATTTAAAGTACGACGAGATGAGACTCGATGCTAA